GACAAACAATCCTTATTGTCAACAGGATGGGGCTCCCACCGCAGCCATGAGAACGCCCTTCAGGAAACCGGTTATGGGTCGGCCCCTGCCCAGGCTGTGTTGGAGCAGGTGGGAACAGCTGCACAATCTGAGAATGGCTCCCCCTTCTCCTCAGCCATTCCTGAACATTCTTAGTGTTGGTTGCAGCACTGGTGACACAACCCCAAACTGTCCCCTGCCTTGGGCAGGTGTCTGCTCCATTTATGTCTCCTCAATGAGGTGTTGCAGGGGCCATGCTGTGACACTGCCAGCACCCCGGGAGCAGTGGGCATGTCCCCACCGTCCAGTGGCCCCTGCAATGTCCTCAGACATTGCTCTCCAGCATCCCCAACAGCTGCTGGTGCCATTATTTCAATCATGACTACTGGTACCTGGCCATCAGAGATCCCATCAGGCACACTCCAAAACTGCCCCTCATGGTAGTGACAGCAGCAGGAAAGAGAAGACTCCCACAGTGTTTTAACAGCAGGTCAGCAATTACCAGGCTATGACCCCTCTAATTGCTGCAACTGTGGAGATGCTACCAAAGGTCGGAGGACAGAGGCAGCTTGGTTGTACACCCTCTTGGTGCTGTTTTTATCTAAGTTACTAATTACACATTACCTATATGTTACCAGGCTGATCGATACTAGTCTGAGGAATCAATATGGACGTGGATGACTGTGCTGTTTGCCATTCAGAACCTGCACAAGCTGGAAAAAACAGGGCACCACTGATCCCAAAGGTAGGCCGAGATGCAGGGTGGGACAGGAGGCGCAATGGGGACAGTGACCACACGTTGCCTTCCTAAGTAGCACTGTGACACAGGCACTGAGACAGCCTCCTGGCCAGGGACTTGCCACGTCCATGCTAACTGCAGCACATGACTGCATCCCAAAGCTGGGGCAAACCTCCCACCCATCCTGCAGCACTCCGTTGGGAACAGCACATTCCATTTTAATCTAGGTTGCTTTTCAGTCCTTGGAACACAGTGTGTTTAAAAGATTCACACTGATCTGAAAATTGACAGTTCTCTTGATGTGTTCTTACCTGATGATTGAGAATCACCAGCTACTTCAGCAAGCACAATGTCTCCTGCATTTTGCTTTGCTTCTTAACTAACCAAAAGCTGAGACTATCTCTGTAATGCCACCATGCTTCTGCCAGCAAGAGGGATCTTGGCTGCAGAATGCAATCACATTTTGCAGGAAGAAGCGCTTGGGACTACCATGACATTTGGGATTAAAGTGCAGCTAAGTAAGGGGAGTAACTGGGAGTTTCTGCCTGTCTTGCTGGAGTCTCATGACTGTTCTGATTCTGTCGTAGCAATGCTGGGAAATTACTCTTTGAAACCAAAAGAGCCTGAGAAAGGCATGGGCAGGTCAGGGTCATTTGCCCTCAGCCTGCTTTTGTCTTGTGCAGTGAATTGATGGCGGTAGGATTAGACAGAGAGCAGCGCGGGGCAAATGTAAAACTCTCCCCTAAGGCTCCCCTTGTGCTTGACTGTGCCTGTGCCCTCAACAAGATGCAAAGCTCTGCAGCCTCCTCCTGTCAGGCCACTTCACAGGCATGTCTCAGAGCCCAGGGAAAGGATCAGCAGCTTTGGGGCAGCTTTGGGTGCATCCAGTTACTGACCACTGATGGATCAGCCACCACTCACCAGCAAAGCAAGAGCCCTTTTTCTGAAAAGCTCATGGTGAAAAGCTCCTGAAAAGCAACACAATCCTGGTTTTTATTGAGGCCTTAGGGTAGCTAAAGTTGTTGTGGAGTGAGGCTTCTAGCCCCTGCTGCTGGCCTGGGAAGACTTGGTACTTTTTCTAAGCAGCAGATGCAGTCCTCTTTAGTGCCAGTAGCTTAATCCAACAGCAGACCTGTAATCCTTCCCTTAGTCCCACAAGCCCCAAAAGCAGAAAGCTGCCCAGATTTGCTGTTCGATGAGGTTTACTCAGCCTCAGTTGCAATCTCAGTTTCCACCAGCAGCAAGCCTCATTCCCCTGGAAAGGCCATTCCCACGGGAGCGCAGATGCTCCTGAGCCAGGAACAGAAACGGTCCATGCTGGAAACTCAGCAAAGGCTGCTTTGGCTCTTAGCACCCTGCAGCCTTCGGGACACTCCTAATGCAGTGACACTACTGGGGCCTGTGTGGCCTGCCGTAGCTCAGAGTGGAGCCTTGGGGCAACCCAGGGCATCACCAACAGTTGCCTTTGGGTGAAGCCAGTGCCTGGGACACTGTGATGGCACCGTGTTCCTGCCAGCAGCTTTGCCACTGGCAGTTACTTGAAAACTGGTCTGAGAGCTTTGCAGAGAGAAACTGTAATGTCCAGCTATAAACTGCAGGTCCCCTGGCACAGCACCCAGAAGCCACCAGAGAGGTTGTACAAGCACAGCCAGCCCTGGAGAACATCCCCTGCCTTTTCCTTACAGCAGGAAACATTTCTCCCTGGATACAACTCCTAATTTTAAAATGCCAGCAAACAGGCTTTTTCTGAAAACTAACTGTAGCAAGATACCAGCTCTACCTCCCTTTGCACTCCCAGTGCCTGGCGTTAGCCCCAGGGCCCACCTCCATCAGCAGCAATAGGCCACAGCTGGAGGTTGGGGCTGCCCTCCCCACCCCTAACCCACACATAAATGGGGCCAGCTTGGCTTCCTAAGCCTCTTCAGAGGTGCTGCTGAGCAGGTTTGGGAGGAGGTATCATAGTAGAAATGTAATTTTAGTGAGCTGGCATCACACTTGGGGAGTGAGCTCTAATCTCTCGGGCAGCTCTGACTTTGCCTTTAGGGTGTGAGAGCTGAGCAAATGTTCTGTCTTTTCTCCTTTCCCCCTCTCCATGTTGCTCTGCTGTTCATTTATCCTTCATTTGGGATCATCCTCTTGTCATTTATGTGGCTATGGTGGTTGGTTTTTTTTTCTAAGGGGTGGATGCCAGGCATCAGGAATCATATGTTCAGCATATGGTGGCAATTAGCCCAGCTCTGAACCCTGATGGCATGTCTGTGTCTGCAATTAATGCTCTTCGCTATCTGTGTAAGGTTTTTATCTTCTTTCCTTCCGGGGCTAGAAAAGGAGCAACTTGGATCTCAAAACACAGCAGTAAAGTGTTAAAGGCATAGTTTGGGCCCTTGCTGTGGGGCTGGTCTCAGGATTGATTCTTGTTTGGTTCAGCTTGGCCTTTGCACCTGGATTTATGTGAGTGTGGCTCAGGGTGCCTGTCTGATACAGCACAGAGACTATGGGGACTGGTTCTGGCTCTCCCAGTGCCTCCACTCATGTACTTTATGGCATGTTTCATGCACCTGGCTCTTTTATTAGGAAATTAGACTCAATGTTTTATAGTGTTAAGCTTCTTTATTCATGCCTATGGTTCTCTGCAAAGCATCTTGAGGTTTCTTTTATGGGATGGGAAAATGGGAGCAAAGTCTGGATTTCAGGGGGGAAATACCATGGCAAGCAGAGGGAAGGTGCCTGTGGGATGAGCGGTGCTTCAGGGAAACACAGAGGAGAAACACAGCCCCCTCCCACTGCTCCACTGGCATCTTGTGGTGATTTTGTAGGGGTTCCCCTGGCAGAGCTGCCCCTTCCATCAGAAAGGTGCTTTACCAAATCTCATGGGCTTGCTCTGCTTTCCTTCTTTCCCATATAAATTCATCTACCCTAAAAATCACTGCTTTTTTCTATTAGATAGTGTGATTTTGGGGGAGGAGTTTATCTCGCTGTCACCTGGCTGCAGCTGATTTTAAATGAAGATGAGAGGAACAGGGAGAGAAACTGGGGGAGGTAGGGGGGTGGGTGGGCAGCATTTCTGAATCCAAATACATTAAGCCATTTAATTCTGTTGACTCAGGGCTGCCTGGCTCTGAATAAGAATTAATCCACAGTGAACCAAAATTAAAAAGCACAATACAAAATGCTTAGCGAGGCACTGCCAGGGTTTGAAGCCACCCATTAGCTTGCTTGAACATACCCAGTAAATTTTAATTTGTCAGTAACGCTCAGAGCCTACAGTTTATTTACAGCCTGTTCAATATTACCCAAACGCCTCAGAGAGCCTCATCTGTATTTATCTGCCACAGTCAGTTTCCTTTCCAGGGACATTTCCTAATCCCTTGCTTGTCTCTTGTTCCAGAGCCAGACACAGCAGGGATGTGCCACCCCCCAGGCAAAGGTAATGCAGACCCCTTGCTGTCCCACTTACCCTCTGCACAGGAGGCCACCCTGAGCCACGCCTCAGTGACCCACACCATCCCCATGCTTGGGCTGAGACCTCCTGGCATGGGGCTCCTCTGCCCTGCAGCCACCAGCCAGCACAGAGAGGTGATGGGAATCTCCAAATTGTGTCCTCTAAATGACGCACAGGTCAGTAGTAACTGGGTACAGGCAGGAGCAGCTGCCTCTATGGACCCACAGCCTGGCTGAGCTGGCTAACAGGCCAGGCCTCTCCATCTGTTCCCAAATCAGCTCCTGCTTGATGAGCCCTGGTGAGGAAAACATGTAACAGGATTGCCCTCAAAAGCAGCTTGAATGCTGCTGAGCAGATAAGGAAGCCTGGCTGGCCCTGAGGATTTCTCCAAGTAAAGGAGTTTATTATCAGGCACAGGCATGATGGGCGGTTTAATCTCCTGTCATGGCTTATGTCCAATTGGGGTGGTTTGGTCCAACACTTTCAGGTCCCAGAGATGCAGCTGGGTGGGGAGACAAGTCTCATTTGGGATTTGTCCTTCCACAGCACAAGGATGGACCTGCCCCAGCTGCCTGCCTTCTCCCATCTGCATTAGCATCAACAAAGTCATTTTCAGTAGATTCTATAAGGATGGATGCAGGTGGCAATTGCAAAGTGAAGGGCCACTCACTTTTCTGCCACTGTTGGTTAGAGTTTGCAAGCTCCTCTTGCTGCTAAGATACACAATGCTGTGAATGGCCAGGCAGCATCCTGAGGAAACCCCACTTTTCCACCCCACAGAGCAAAGTCCCCATCACTTGCCTGCTGCTGTCTGCATGTAGCCAGCTAGGGTGCAGACTCTCTTCTCACAGGCTCCACCAGGCAGCAGGACAGCGACGATGGCCAGCAGTGAGCTGAGGGCCAGCAGGGCACAGCCACCTGCACACAGCACGGCACTTGTCTGGAAGGATATGGAGGGCTGTCAGCAAGGTGATCCCCCACCAACCAGCCCAGTGACACCACCCCACGAATTCCCCTCTTCAAGTGAGAAGTGGAGCCCCATCACTGGCAGCTTCTCCTGCTTTCTCCTGTTGCTTACACCTTCTTAATGCTTACACCTTCTTCTGTTGCTTAAATTCACTATCAAGTCTTGAGCCCATGGTTCACATGGTCCCAGGGGTTATTACTCTTTGGGCTATGGTGATAATAGCAAATGTATTACATGCATGAAGGGCTATGTCACTAATACAAGTGCCATTAGATGCCTGCAACGCATGTCAGTGCCTCCACTGAGAGCTGAAACTTGTCTTGTGCCAGCGCCTGCTCCTGCAAGCCTGGCAATTAGAGGGTGCTTTGCCAGTGATGCTCCACAGTGGGGAACCTCTGCAAAGATTTCATTGCAGCCAGACTCTGCTGACACAGCAGGCTGCTTCCACCCCATGGCCCAGCCCACCCACCTTCAGCAGACCCACCAGCCCTGCCCTGCAGCAGCCATGGCTTTGATTTAGCTTCTTTGGCAACAAAACTGGGTCATTCGGTACTGTTATTCAAACCCAGCTCACTCTGTGTGATGAAGCTTTGAGGCACTGGAGGCTAGGGGAGTACCTGGCAGGCAGTTTTCCCCTGGGGGCAGAACGAAGGGGCAGTAAAAAGGGAGGCCAGCACAACTTGCAGCCTGTCTCCTTGCCATCACCTGGCCGGGGTAGAAGCAATTTTGCTATTTAATATTCTGGCTTTAAGATGCAAACTGCATCAGCACCTAAAACTGGGAAAAGCACTAATTTATAGCAAAACAACTCATATTTTGGTATGGGCACCCAATTGCTGCACTGTCACTGTTTCTGTCCCCCTTGCAGGTTACACTTCTAATGGGATGGCACTGGCAGCAGGAAGGGCCCTACACCAGCAGTGACACATGCCAGCCCAGCCAGGGCACAGTGTGAGCCAGGGCAGTGAGGGGATGTGTGCCTCTTCCTCCATTACCCAGTTCATGGCAGCGTTCAAACAGCACAAGGGCACCTCAGTCCCAGCATTGTGGCAGCCACATCAAGACCTGGCGTTTCATAGCAAATTCCATGAAACACTTCTGGCTTTGGTGAGTCACTCTGCAGTAACATCCACCTCATGGCTCCCTAAGGCAGCACAGCTGTTAAGACAGGTCTCATCCCCATCTTTCTAACGAGCCTCATTTTCATAACCTGTGCAGGAGCTGCCCTAAGGAGCTCAGGTCCCTCTTCCACCTGCCCTTGTCCAGCCCTCTGGCTCTGCTGAGACATTCTGGGTAGAAATGCTCAATTTTCCTTTCTTAGTTTTCCCCTATATTTGAGTTTTTGGTTTACTATAGGAACAAACCCAATACATGTTTCCATTTATGTCCCCACCACCACCACCAGAGACATAAATAGTCTGCTAAATCTAAGTTATGCTGAGGAAACACAGGCAGGCTCAGGGGGCAGAGGAATTGGGTTTACCCTGTGATGGAATCCAACCAGCTAAAAAATCCCTCCAGCACTAGCAGTGCTGCTCCAGAGGTCTAGCACTGCCCTACATCTTCCTGCTTCATTTATTGCTGAGGTGGTTTTAGCAGCTGTACTTGCTGGTGCTGTGGCAGAACCACCAGCTGCAGGGTCCTGCCTGGGAGCTGCCACTGCTCCAAAATGGGACACACTAGCGCTGGCAAGTAACAGGCCAGGGAAGCACAGGCACCACCCTGACAGGCCAGTGTGAGTGCTTCCACCAGTGCTGTACAGTGATTAGAAATCAGCATCTTATTTATAGCCTATTTATACACTGCACACGCAAGGAAAATACTGTCCCAGCAATAAATTAATTCCTGACATGTAATGTAAAAGGCACAACAGTGCAAACAGCTACTGGGAGAAAAGGAGAGGCTGTGGCAGCAGGTCTATCTGCTCCTCCCTGGGGCTTTCCAAGCCATTGAGACCTAAAGAGGGAAGTGCTGCTCCAGGGCAGAACAGATTGGGACACCCCAGCAGGGACCAGCCCCTTTCCCCATCTGTATTCCAGGAGGGATCCACAGGGATTGGGGTGGGATGGGTGACCCTATTACACAGGTACCCTCCTAGTTTGAGGTCCCATGGAGAGAGCAGCTGATCCTCACTGCTCCCAGGGAAGCAGCAAGGAAACATGGACTCATAAAAGGATTACTCTGCCCAGTATCTGAATTCCACCCAGCAACCTGCTAAACCATCCTCCTTCACGAGGCCCATTAATTATTTAGTGCAATGAATTTTTCAGCAGAAAGGGGTCTTGTGAAGCAGGCTTGTTCCTCTCTTGTGTGAAGCACATTATTTTTAATGATCCATGTTCTTCTTAATTATGGTAGTGCAAATCCCCTAAAAACTCACAGCTCTTGTTGGAAACAACCTATGAGCTACTAACCCCCACAGAAAGGTGCAAAGATGTTTTTGAGGACATAGTGCCAAAAAAAAGTGCAAACAGGATGTGTGCAGGTGTGTGTGCCACTGAAAGATGAGCTGGGTATGGTTCAGGTTCTGCCATCAGTGTTCCTAGAAGCAGCAGCAAGACTGCGGGGTCCCGGGACCAACAGCACCCTGATGTGCACAGTGCTGGCCAAAAAAAGACCAAATCCAACCAGGCCATGGCAAAGGGAACTAAGTTCTCATTGTGAATAAATGTGTTAAAATTCCTGTGGGCAAGAGGTGTAGGTAAACAGTGAGGTTTGTTTTCTCCCATGTGGGCCAGGAAAGCTGAGCCACAGAACAGCCACCAAGCAGCTCTGGGGGGCAGAAGGGGTAATGCAGCTGAGGAGTTTTGCTGTGGGACACAAGGGATGGCAGTGGTGCAGCTGCCCCAGAATAGGTGGCAATAGGGAAAGGCACAGGGCACTTCAGGAGAGACTGTAAGTGACCCTGCTGTAAGCTGGTGGTCTTAAGTCTGGCTCCTACATTATGCTGGTTCACCATAGCTATTGATGCTGAAGTGGGTGTGAACTTCTTTCCCTAATGCATTGGCATTACCTGGCCAAAACACTGGATATACTCTTGTAAACCGGAATTTTTTGGTTTTGTTGTAACCCTTCCAGGTTCAAATTCCTTGCCTGGGAATTGTCGCAAGTGCTCCTGCCCTGTACTGGAGTCATACCTGCAGATCAAACAGCTGCTTCTGAAGAAAAATAATAAGGCTTAAGTTTGAAGAAGTCCATGGAGCAAAGGTACCCAACAGTAGCAGCTAAAACCCTCCCCTTCCAACTGTGCAGCACCTCCTTCTCTCCTCCCTGTTTGTGCCTGTTGCATCTTGAGCAGAAAGGATGCAGGAAACAGGATGCAAAGGCTGAAACCCAAAAATAGACAGGGAGGGAAACAAACGGGATGCATCAAGGCCATCTGTGAGGGCCCAGCTCAGGCAGGGGAAGGAAAAAGCCCATTCATCACAAAAGAGAGAACAGCTTACAGGGGAAAACCAGCCAGGGAGAAGCAGGACCTTGCTGCTTGGTGGGCTGCTTCTCCCCAGGCATTGCAGACCATTGTCTGCACCACGGGAGATCCCTGGGGAGCCCAGCAGCCCTGGCCTGTGAGCTATCCTACCTCTGCCACAGTGGGAAAAGATGTAAAACCCTGTCAGATTTTCTGCTCCCACTCCCAGGGAGATTAATTGTTTATCCCCAAACAAATTAATAGTCCCCTGGTGGGACTGTAAATGTGCCTTTATGTGGTGTGATAAATACTGATTAACAACAATCCCCTGTTATTTTAATATTTTACAGGTCTGACACATGCCATGACTATGCCATTCACTAAGCAATAAATCTGCTGAGGATGCTGTTTCATCCACCAAAAAAAAACCGCTCCAAATTAAAATGTCACACAATGATCATCCTGGGAAGAATAACTTAATATCCATAATAAGAAGTTTTTAAAAGTTAACCCATCTTTTGAAGCCAGCAGCCATGGTCTTTGCAATTTAAAGTGAAAAGGGCAAAGGGAGAAAAAACTGTCTGGTCCAGTGAGTTAGAGCTGAGAAATGGTACCTGGTGTTTGGCTCAGGAGAGATAAACCAAGTTGGCAAAGCTCCTGCCATCACTGCCATCCTGGATGGGCACCATGGTACACAGAGCATTAGGTTGAGGGCAAGGTTACAGACTGCTTGTGTGTTTCAGCCCCGCTCAAGTGCTTAAGCATCTTTGCAAATGGGGGCAGAAAGTAAATAGCCTAAATCATTAGGAAATAAAGCCCTGGGCTAAGTAAAAATAAAAAAGAGTGAAAGTCGTAGCGTGTTTGGCTTTCTGGACTATCTGTTGAGGCAGAAAAAGTCTGAGAAACCCTGACTAAACAGGGGAAAAAACTGGCTGTAAAATCAACTCTAAGAGAAGAGGGTGCAAAAGTAATCAAATTATTATTTTTTTTTTTACGTGCGGTCCCTTCTCATCAGAGCTCTGTGTGGTTAAACATTCATTAGGGAATATGTTTGGGGGTTAAACTGGATGGTGCTGTACCTGGAAAGGCAGAAACAGAATGGAAAGCAGGGGTTTTAACATTGATGAAAAAGAAATTGGTGCTGGATTTGGGTGCTGAGTGGGGACCTGGGCTTTGGGGTTTGCAGCAGTGCTGGCAAGGACCCAGGAGGCCACATCGGGGATTGATGCTGGGAAGCAGATGCAGATGTTGGCAGCTGAGTCTGGCTCTGCTGCATGGCTGCTGGTAGAGGAGAAGCTGTCACCACTGCCTGTTGGAGGGCAAATAAAGAGGGATGAAAAGGATCAGTGCAAATACTCAGACTGGTATCTATCTGCAGGGCAGCAGCAGCACTGGAGCAGCAAAACTGCCTTCCATCCACGCCAGCACCCAGCAAGGTCTCTGAGCTCCCCTGCAAGTTGCTGGTATCAACACCACGTGGCTGTGAGGTCCTTCGCTCCTCCCATGCCTTCTGGTAAGTTTGACGCTGGATGAGACTGCCCTGCACCCAGAACAGTAGTGCCTT